TGCCCCCATTAACACTCATAATGCTACACATTAACACCCATAATGCTACACATTAACACCCATAATGCTTCCCAATAACACTCATAATGCTACACATTAACACCCATAATGCTTCCCATTAACACTCATAATGCTACACATTAACATCCATAATGCTACACATTAACACCCATAATGCTACACATTAACACCCATAATGCTACACATTAACACCCATAATGCTACACATTAACACCCATAATGCTACACATTAACACCCATAATGCTTCTCATTAACACCCATAATGCTACACATTAACACCCATAATGCTACACATTAACACCCATAATGCTACACATTAACACCCATAATGCTACACATTAACACCCATAATGCTACACATTAACACCCATAATGCTTCTCATTAACACCCATAATGCTACACATTAACACCCATAATGCTTCTCATTAACACCCATAATGCTACACATTAACACCCATAATGCTACACATTAACACCCATAATGCTACACATTAACACCCATAATGCTACACATTAACACCCATAATGCTACACATTAACACCCATAATGCTACCCATTAACACCCATAATGCTACACATTAACACCCATAATGCTTCCCATTAACATATACTTTTGTATTCCTTCAACATTTATTCTTTACTTTAAAAAGATTAGAGAACTTACTTAGCCTCTTCAATGGCTCTGTCATAGTATATTTGTGCGTTCTGGAAACCAGAAACAAAGTAAGCGTTGGCCATCATCAGGAATACGTGAGGTAATTCCTTTTCCATGCACCTACAACCGTTCACCAACTCCTCATATCGATCTAGCGCTTTTCTGTAGTTGCCTCTGTGATACCAGTTGTCAGCTTCATTGATACCTTCTGTTTCATCCTCCTGCAAAAACCACAAATTTGTATAAATATTGTCATCAATTTTTCTGCTTTTACACTACACACTTTTATTATAATTAAACTGGTTTTTATTTTAATATTTTGACCCAAAATAAATTTCCTTCAGATGAAGTTGTTGATGGAAATAAAGGAACGAGTGAAGGCTTTAATTCACTTGCCATCTTGTTATTTACATTTTCCTGAGTCTTGTCTGGTGGTAATGATACCTTCCTATCCTGGGATCACACCTTGCTATCCCTTCCTATCCTGGGATCACACCTTGCTATCCCTTCCTATCCTGGGATCACACCTTGCTATCCCTTCCTATCCTGGGATCACACCTTGCTATCCCCTTTCCCATCCTGGGATCACACCTTGCTATCCCTTCCTATCCTGGGATCACACCTTGCTATCCCTTCCTATCCTGGGATCACACCTTGCTATCCCTTCCTATCCTGGGATCACACCTTGCTATCCCCTCCATCCTGGGATCACACCTTGCTATCCCCTTTCCTATCCCGGGATCACACCTTGCTATCCCTTCCTAAACCTGGGGATCACACCTTGCTATCCCTTCCTATCCTGGGATCACACCTTGCTATCCCCTCCTATCCTGGGATCACACCTTGCTATCCCTTCCTATACTGGGATCACACCTTGCTATCCCTTCCTATCCTGGGATCACACCTTGCTATCCCCTCCTATCCTGGGAAACACACCCTTTCTATCCCTTCCTATCCTGGGATCACACCTTGCTATCCCTTCCTATCCTGGGATCACACCTTGCTATCCCTTCCTATCCTGGGATCACACCTTGCTTCCCTTCCTATCCTGGGATCACACCTTGCTATCCCTTCCTATCCTGGGATCACACCTTGCTATCCCTTCCTTCCGGGATCACACCTTGCTATCCCTCCTATCCTGGGATCACACCTTGCTATTTCCCCTTTCCCATCCTGGGATCACACCTTGCTATCCCTTCCTATCCTGGGATCACCCTTGCTATCCCCTTTCCCATCCTGGGATCACACCTTGCTATCCCTCCTATCCTGGGATCACACCTTGCTATCCTTCCTATACTGGGATCACACCTTTTCTATCCCTTCCTATCCTGGGATCACACCTTGCTATCCCCTCCTATCCTGGGATCACACCTTGCTATCCCTTCCTATCCTGGGATCACACCTTGCTATCCCTTCCTATCCTGGGATCACACCTTGCTATCCCTTCCTATCCTGGGATCACACCTTGCTATCCCCTCCTATCCTGGGATCACACCTTGCTATCCCTTCCTATATGGATCACACCTTGCTATCCCTTCCTGTCCTGGGATCACACCTTGCTATCCCCTCCTATCCTGGGATCACACCTTGCTATCCCTTCCTGTCCTAGCACATGCAGTGCTTCCCATAAATACACATTAAGAATATTGTTTCTCACACTATAAATCAAACATTGACATACATTGTTGCAGCAGATGTTAGTACACATCAGATAAAACTCAACGAACTATGATTGTTGATAGACGTGACACTGCAATAGACATACATAAAAGGCACAAATGAAATGCATAAATACATACATACTGGAGTTAAAGATAGGCGAGTGGTCGGTCTAAGACGTGTATAGTACTGTGTTGTTATTTGTCAAGTGAAGAGAGGCCAGAGAGACAGGAAAGAAATGTAACGACGAAGAGAGGACAATATTAAAACAAAAAGCAGGAGGTGGGAGAGAGGAGGAATGAAGAAATGTACTTACAGACAATAAAACGTCTAAGTTATATTCCTTTGTTTGGTCTGCGTAGCCAACTGCCCCTGTCAATGAGAGATAATATCACTGTCAAGCAGACAGCAGACATGCTATCACCTTCACCAGGGTCATTAAGATTGCATGTGACCTGAATACCAATAGTCAACGATATCTTAACTACATAAATTTGATGAATTAGACACATATGCAACTCTTGGGTATCTTTATTGAGGAAACGTTTCGCCACACAGTGGCTTCATCAGTCCATACGAAGGAGAAACTTGAAGAACAGGAGGAGAATGAGGTAATCAGTCCCTCAACCTTGAGTCGATGTGTTCAGTCCTAAATCTTAAATGAATACCCTTTCTAGAATACCATTCTATTCAGTTGGGGACTGAACACATCGATAAAGGTTGAGGGATGATTACCTCTTCTCCCTGTTCTTCAAGTTTCCCTTGATGGACTGATAAAGCCACGGGGTGGCGAAATTTTTCCTAAAATAAGATCCCCAAGAGTTCACTGTGTCTTTTCTCAAATGCGGTTCTCAAAACCATTCAGCTACATAAATTGGATTAATTCTCTTAGATATATAACTTAAATTATTTTTGTGTATAAAGTCTGTGCTTACACTGTTGACGTGTAAAATATATTTTATGTCTTATATAAAATATTTTCTTATGTTTTATATAAATATATTCTTATGTTTTATATAAATTATTTTATGTTCTTATATAAAATATATCTTATGTTCCCTTATTAAAATATATTTTTAATGTTCTTTATTAAAATTATTTTAGGGTTCTTATATAAAATATATTTTATGTTTTATATAAAATTTTTTATATGTTCTTATTAAAAATATATTCTTTTTGTTCTTATTTAAAATATATTCTTATGTTCTTATATAAAATATATTCTTATGTTCTTATATAAAATATATTCTTATGTTCTTATATAAAATATATTCTTATGTTCTTATATAAATGGCAGAAAACATATGTCAGATACTCTTCTGTTGGAGATCAAATGGTTCGTGAACAACTTTTCAGATTGATAAGACACATGTGGAACAGTGAGGTGTTTTTATTCCGAAACGTTTCGCCTAAACAGTAGGCTTCTTCAGTCGAGTATAGAGGAGGCAGCAAAAGCAATAGCAATGTAATGACGATGTATTCATTCCATTGGAAATATAAACACATGGTATAAACCTTTGTAATAAATACCGACAAGTTGGTTTAGAAAGACATGTAAGCAAACACTATAACATATTTATTAGAAAACGTTTCGGTCCTGGGACCTGGGAAGTGATCAAGGTCCCAGGACCGAAATGTTTTCTAATTAAATATGTTAGTGTTTGTTACGTGTCTTTAAACCATATAAACAATGTGCAGTTTAATGTGATCTTTATTTACACGTTTCGCCCACACAGTGGGCTTTTTCAAATCACAAAAAGATCTACTGGCTGGAAAGGACGTGGTATTTATAGTCAGGTTCGATGTTGAGTCGGGTGGAGAATGCTGCATCTGATCTACCGAGGGGGTTATTTAAATCTTAAAACTTGGGTAGCTTGCAGGGTATGGCAAAAAATTTATCAAGGCCCAGGACCGAAAGTTTTTAATAATATGTTATAGTGTTTGCTTACGTGTCTTTCTAAACCCATACTGTCTTGCATATTCTTGCGCATATTAATAAGGAACATAAGAATGGAGGAATACTGCGAGCCTAACGCCCATGCGAGGCAGGTCCTTATCAAACGACTACTCCTAAGCTTAAACTAGAAATAACTCCCGTAACCCCATGACACCAATTTTAAACCCAAGCCCCCCACCTCATTTATTTGTCCGTCTCTTCTTAAGCTTACCCAAAAGGCCTAGCTCTTTTCACCCACTGGGGAAGACTGTTCACGCATCTACAATCTGTTAGAAAAAACCCGTACTTATTGTCCTTCTAATCTAAATTTATCCAACTTAAACCAATTATTCCTGGTTCCTTACCTGGTTCGACACCCTCAGCACTTTATTAATTTTCTCCTTGTTTATGCTGTCATCCACTTTCACTTCAATGATATCTCCCTCATTCTACGCCTCTCCAGAGAGTCTATCTTCATACGGGAGGTTCCTTACACAAGTAAATCATTTTTAGTCATTTCTTCTCTGTTGTTTTTCAAATGAGTCTATATCCTCCTGTGTAAGGGGACCAAAACTGAGCAGCATAATCAAAAATGAGGCTCACTAGTGATGTATATGATGTATAGAGCTGTAAAAATAACTTTTGGACTTCTGTTACTTATAACTTCTTAAAGAAAAATCCAAGTAATCTGTTGGCCTTTGTTGCCAACACTAAGGCACTGCTGTCTTGGCTTTAGATTTCTGATTACCATGACTCCCAAGTCTTTTTCACATTCTGTATTGATCAAGCTCTACTTACTTTAGATTATAGCTTCGAGGGTTATTTTTCATTCCCAAGGGAAAAGTACCTTACACTTATCCACATTGAAATTCATCTGCCATTTTTCAGACCAAGACATTTAATTTGTTCAATTCGTCCTGGAGTTCATTGAATTCCTCTCAGAGTGAATTATCGGCCTAAACTTGTTCATCAGCAAATTTACTCATGTCAAATCGTAATCCTTAAACAAGGTCATTAATGTAATATTATGAAAAAGAGAGGGCCTAAAACTGATCCTTGTGGAACGCCATAGTGACTAATCCCATTCAGATTTCACTCCTTAATGGTAACCTTGCTTTCTATTGGTAAGCCATGCCTCAATCCATGCTAGAAGTTTACCTCCTATACCATGAGCTGCCACTTTTCTTAAGTCTCTTGTGAGGTACTCTATCGAAGGCTTTACTAAAATCCAAATAAACAATATCATATTCCTTATCACTGTCAACTGCCACAAATGTTCTATTGAAGAACGTCAGTAAGTTTGTCAGGCAGGAACGACCTCTCGTGAATCCATGCTGGGATTCATTTATCAAGTTATGCTCTTCAAGGTGACTTCTGATAATGTCAGCTATAATTGATTCTAATAACTTGCCCACTATAGATGTCAGGCTTATTGGACGGTAATTTGAAGGAGTGAACTTATCCCCTGATTTGAATATAGGAACCACATTAGCCATCTTCCACAACTCTGGCACAACACCGGTAAGGATGGACGCATTGAATACACTCGTTAATGGCAGACTAAGCTCCATCTTGCATTCCTTAAGTACGATAAATTAGACATATGTGCAACTCTTGGGTATCTTTATCGAGGAAACGTTTCGCCACACAGTGGCTTCATCAGACCATACAAAGGAGAATCTTGAAGAACAGGAGGAAAATGAGGTAATCAGTCCCTCAACCTTGAGTCGATGTGGTCAGTCCATCAATCTTGAATAGAATATTCTATTCAAGATCTGATGCGCCTATAAATTCCCCTGCAGCATCATGGGATCTTGTTACAAAGAATTCTTCAACACTTGTTCAACCTTTGGACGAAGACCTACTTCGACTAGTGGATGGTACCACTATGACCCCGCCTCCGCCTGCTTCACCTCACCTCACTACAGTATATAAGCCACGTCTACGGCCCTTTGCTGTACATTCTACAAGATTGATGGACTGAACACATCGACTCCAGGCTGAGTGACTGATTACCTCATACTCCTCTCCTTACGCCTTCCTCTTTGTATTGGACTGATGAAGCCACTGTGTGGCGAAACGTTTCCTGAATAAAGATTCCCATATGCTGCTAGTGTCTCAATCTTCAACTTGTCGGTTTTTCAAACCATTCATCACATCCCCTTTTCTCCCCTAATAGATGCTTTAGCCTCCTGTTAACCCATTTGGGATCGTTATTATTAGACCTAATTTCTGGGGAAGGTATATACTCTGGGCACTGTGTGCATTATTAAGAAAACAATCATAAAAGCAGATCCCTTCATATTCATAAGTATGATTATCGTCAATAAAATCATTAGCTAGATAACCCCAATCAAGATTAGACAGATGTTCCCTAAGTCCATTATAATCGGCAGAACGAAAATCAGGGATTTTTACTGTATTATCATTATTCTTGCATTCCCAATTAATGCTAAAAGTGATGGATTTTTGATCACTTGCCCCAAGTTTTCCCAGTGATCCCCAAGATTATTCCCGGTGTTTAAGTCCCTGGACTCTGATTCCCTTTAAAATTTTTTTCCCCGCCCAATTTGAAAAAGGGTTAAAGCCCCCTACAGGGACTATTTTTCTGTGTCCAGAAGCCCAAACAATTTCGCCCCAAAAAAAGTCTCCCTCTATCGTGACCCAAAGCCTGGAGGTGGGTTTTATTTACACTGAATTAGTTTTTTCTTGACCCCCCCCAAACTCTACCCAAAAATCATTTACTGCTCCATCTTTTTTTTTAAAACCTGTTTTTTATCCCAACAATTAATATTTTCTCAAAACATAAAATTTGCAATCCCCCCCCCTTTCCCCATTACTTTCTATCCAATTAAAACAATTTAAAATTTCCCAAATTATTACATCAGAAAGTCATATCCCGACTTTTTAAAATTAACCCCGTTTCAGTTAATGCAATGATATCAAAGGTTCCCAGAAATTTGCTCCCAAAACGTATTCTTTAATTTTTATTTTTGCATTTCCCGACTGTTAGCTTTAAAATACCATCATTTGTTTTTTCTTTGCACTTTTTCCCTTTATTAAATTTTTTTTTTCCCACAATTCGGGAAATTATCTTTCCCAGATTTAAATCCATGACATTTAAACAAATTTAAGTTTTTAATATCGAGAAAAGGTCAAAAAAATCCATACTCATTATTTTCATTTCAAAAACCCATACCTTAACTAATCTTTTTAAAAGTCCTAAAAAACCCCCTTACTGAGTTAGCAAAAAAACCCACACCTGCCCTGGATAAGGGGAACCCCTTTCCCTGGCTTAATGTCTTTTCCCAAGCCTTAGAAGTTGTCCTTTTGTAAATTGAAGGGTTTCTGCTTTAACCCTTTAAGTTTTTTTCCCAGCAAAAAATTTAATCCCAATTTTCTTGGAAAACCTTTCATCCAAAACACCTTTTTGGAAAAAATGCCAATAAAAATGGGACCCCCCCCATTTCAAATTTATGTTTATAGCTGTCATGAACAATTAACTAAATCCTCATTTAGGGCTTCCCTTACATCATTGCCTCCAGCACTGAGGCAAAAAAATAGGATTGCCCCATTCCCCTTCTTGATGTTGTCAAAGGGCTAAAAAAGGTCCTCCATCCCCCCCCAGGAAAGAAAACCCCCCTCAAAATCTCTACTCCTGCCCTTTCCCAAGCAGAAGGGCCCAACCCTTGATCTAACCTGGCTACCCCCCAAGCAACAACAATTTTCTTCCCTTCCCTTGTTGCCCGTTCGTTGTGACGACCCAGTAGTCGACTCCCATTCGTGGGGTTTCCCACCCGGAATGCTTTGGGAGGTTTCCACGGGAGTTTCCACAGCAGTCTTTTTCCCTTCTTTTTCTTTTTTGGTTTTCCCTTCGTCTTTTTGATCGTAAAACTTCGTTTCCCCTGTGTCCGGGCCTTTGCCAGATCCCTTTTTTGCCTGGGATCAAAACGGGGGGGAAACTATACAAAATCCTCTTTTTTCCCGGCCCCCCCGCCGTTTTTTTTTTCCTTTTTCCCCTCCTCAATTTTTCCCAAATTTTTGCGGGAAAAAGTTCTCGTTTGGAGGGCATTTGGTTAGTCCAGGGGGGCACAAAAAGACATTCCCTTCACAGATTTAAAAGTACAGGTCATTTTGGGACGTAAAAAGGTATATGTTTATCGTGGGACGGGACACTGGTGGTGCCCTTTACTTAATCAGGGGTTTACCTGTACTTACTCGGGGTTTACCTGTATTAACGTGGGGGACCTGTATTTAAACTTTTTCAAAATTTTTGGGTTTAAACATTAGGTTATTTTTATGCGTCAGTCAAGTGAGTTAAAACTTTAAAGAATTTTTATAGATCTATGTGATCTTTGTGATCTATTTTGAAATATTTTTCAGAAAAATTTAAGTAAAAACCAAAAGCAAAAACTTACCTTGGAAATGTTGCTGCCGTCCTGAAGTTTCCTTGTTCTTCTGCTGCTTGTTTGCGTCACCTGTCCTTGCTTGGTTTAAAAGTAAAGAGTTGTTCTTTTTGGCATAAGACGAAAAATATTTTTTTTATAATTTCCCTCCCACTAAAAATTATTTTTCTTTTAAATTCCCTTTTGGGAAAAAAATTCCCTTTTTTTACTTTCTTTCTCTGTTGAAAATCCCAGAAAATTGTTTGTACTTCCTTTTCAGAGTGTCACTTTTTTCGGCCTGGTGCGTGGATGGTTTTCTTCATTGGGGCCTTTCCCAATTTATGATGTCACAAACTTTGCAGGTGTTTAATCCCTTACATTTCCCCCTGAAACAACGATCAAAATGTCTGTAAGAAAAATATCAGAAGTAGAAAACAACAAATTTTTGTATTCAAAGAGAAAAAGATAAACCCACAGGGTATAAAAACACTGGAGGAAAAGGGGAAACAAATAGGAATGATCCCAAATAAGATGAGGTTTGGAGAAATTTTTATAGAATGATTTAAAACGAGAGACCAATGGGAAAAAGGGAACTTTGTTCCTCCGCCTTTTTTTCTACATTTGACAGAGAATTTTAAGCCAAAGCTTGTGTTTCCTTTTTGGGGTGTCA